TTTAAATTTTGGCTGCCACGGTCACAAGTGTGTGCTATAATCTATATTATATTAACCTACCTAACATGATATTATTGACAACATTAAAACACTATGCACTATGTTATTTTTATTTTTGCATAAAAAATAGGTACTCGTCTAATATGCTACCTACCACTACTTCGTTGGTGTTGTATGCTACCTACCGTATAACGATACCTACCAAAAAACGTTTACTGATTATTGATTAATAACAAATTTACAACAATATTAATAACAGTTTATTACTAAATAATTTATTAATTTATTGTTGTCAATTACTTTATAATATTTCTATATGTCATTACATACTATTATACATTGTATATTATTTTTACATCATCGGTCATCCTGAAAACTTCTAATAAGTCGTGTTGCGTATTAATGGACCGCCACCATTCTTCTTTTAATTATCTGTCTAACAAATCTGTTTCTCCACGGGTTTTAATTCCGGATTTAGTTTTTACATGTCTCCATATACACTCGATCGTTTGTGTTTGTGCGCCTGTTGTAGGATCAACAAAAAACTAGAAATGATTGAAGGTTTCATGATGATAGCCTATATATTTTAAGGTAGGTACTGTATGTTCGCCATTGATCTGAATAATTGATCCTAGTTCTATTTAATTTTGTATTATTGGTAATAAAGTTGCCTTATCTCTTTTTTCCACTTAACATTTTTTTGAGTTGAATAATCATCATCAATATCGTCAGCTTCACATAAAAATTAAAACTCGTAACGAATAGGACACATACCCGAACACAACACAAACACAACATAGACTAAAATAATACATCTAAAAGTAAGTTATCATGGGACTTGGTGGATCAGTAAAGTTATCATAACGGCTATTATAAGCTATAATTTTGTACAACTGTTATAATATGTTATTTATTATAATGGCTCAAATGTACTTTCCCGCAATAAAATGAAATAAAATAAAACAACTACGGTAGGTAGCATACTACATGCATACAATTTTATGGTAGGTAGCATATTGGACGAGTACCAAAAAATAGCCTATATTATGATGTTATTTTCTTGGTTTTTACTTATTAGTTATTAATAAAGAACAGATTCTTAGATTTTTACATGTATTTATAAGGTTTATAGCAGCTCAATGGGGGGTTAACAATTTGAATGATTTGTTAATTAATAACTTTGTAGGACAAAAAATTATTTTGTATATTTGTAAACATTTTGGGGTTTAAAGAATATTTATCCTATTTTTTATATTTTAGAATATTATTTGTAAAAAAATCATAATGGTATATTTCTCAAGTTGTCAATACTGCCAAATCCAAACCATCAATTATTCTTGACCAGCCACTCTGGTTTTGTAGAATAAAATAAAATTTATACCTATTATTGGTAGATGTTATTACATTTTATATTTAATTAAAATACTGAATACTTTTGAAAATAAACTTAATATAATGTATCAATTCATAGTTTTATAATCTGTAATATGATTAATATAATATACTACTACATTATAAAAAACAAATCTGATACTATTCATTACTTTTGAGTTATGACTATAGTTTGGATGTTAATGACCAAAATTCCATTAAAATATACATTTAAAAATGTCCACACTTGTAATTATATGCCTTAAAATATATTAAATATACCTATTTTTTCAACAAATAATATAATATGCAAAAAAAAGGTGGTTAAGTGGGTACTGTTCTGCTGTACAGTAGTTGTCGAGCATGTCGTTGTTATAGATTTTTTATATTTGAATTCAATTCATCGTATACAAAAACCAATTTTGAGTGGAGACGCTGTGTCAGCCTACCATATTTAAATACATAATTAGCTCATAAAGAGTCAAAATTGTTCGAACATTTTATCATGCATTGAAAATGCTAATATAAGCATTTAAAGTTCAAATGTTGACAAAATTGATCAAATTTAAAATTTAAAACAATGTTCCGCGTAAATAAGTAAATAAATTACTTTATTCACAATAATATAATCTAATAAACTTAGTTTTATATCATAGTCTTCGCTCAGAATCGTTTTTTGTATGCAATGATATTATATCATTGAATTAAAATTTAACACCATCCATTACAGTGACCCACTTATAACCTACAGCAGAGCGACACCCGCCTGCCCACCATTTTTATTTTGATGGTTTTAATTAGGTGCTATTCGTCTCAAACCCTGCTTATGAATTATAATCCATTTTTTTTTTATATTATATGATATGTAATATTAGGTATTTTTAATAACTATAAATATTTATGATCATAGCTCGTAATCATAAATATGGCCGACAAACATATGAGGAAGGTGATGATGATGATGATGATTCATATGCTTACGGAGCTGGTAGTTCTGGAGCTAACTATGGAGGATATACTTATGATGAAGGTATTTAATATTAACAATATTCTTTAAATTTAGGAACAAAAGTATATTTTGAAACTTTATTTTAATAGCTGATGATAGTGATGATGACGATGATGATTACTCTTCAGAAGATGATGATGATGATGACGACGATGACGACGACGACAACGACGATGAAGATGAAGAAGGTGACAAAGACAAAGCAAAAATTAAAAAATAAATTGTCATTAGACATTTTATAGTGTTTATATAAAAATATACAAAATTCATCAATATTATTTGTTGTTTCTTAATTTATTTCAATTTAAAATTCTTTTATAATTCATAGTCTGTTATCTTGACTGTAGTCTATGTTTTCTTTTCACCAATGTACTCTACAGTATAACTTTACTGTTGACACTTAAACATTACAAAATTGTTTTTTGAAGCCCCCGAGAAAAAATTAACCGTTATTAAGATCTCCCCTATTATTTTTATTGTCTGTCTTACCAAAATAATAAACTTATACAAAATCATGCACACAGTACAGAATTCTTTGTTTGTAGGTTATGCAAGAGAAATATTTGGCCCACAAAAACAGTGGAGCATTTTCCACTAATAGTGTAGTAATAAAATAACCAATTATTGTCTTCAAAATACAATATTTATTTGTAACTTTTTATAAACTAAAATATTAAGGAATACATTTTACCTATATTTGTATAAGAAATGATTCTGAATAATACAATTTATTGTTTACTAGTGATAATTATTATAAGATAAAAAATATGAAATAAATGTCAGCAAGCCTGGGCATAAACGCATTAAAAAGTTAAAAGTTAAGTTAATTTTAACTTTTAACTTAACTTTTTAAAATTTAATTTTCATTAACTTAATTTTTAACTTATTTTAATTGATATAAACTTAATAAATAACGAGTTACTTTTAATCAAATTCGAGTTAAGTCAATTTATAAATAATTAAATAATAAGTATAATAAAAATATAAATTATTATTGATATTACATAACCATTTACTAGAATAGGGAATTACAAATAAAGTTAAATTAATTTCTTGTTCCATTAACCAGAATTCTTCAAGAAAAATAACTCAATTAAATACATATAGATATAGCAATAGCCAATTATATTATAACTTATAGGTGTATACTGTATCGTAAATATAAAGAATAAAGATATACCATACCACACTGTGGCATACTGGCATATTGTAATAATAATAATTAATAAATACTAACAACTAATAAATAATATATTATTTTATTTTATTGATATAGATACAAATCAAAAATGTAACAATTCTCAAGAACATAAAATATTTTCTGCATAAATAGGTTATTTTTAAATTAAAACTAATTGGGTTTGGGAAATGCCTTGGGAAAAACGAAAAAAAAATAAACTTAGGAAAAACTGGAATTTCTACACAAAACCAGTTTTTGACAAGATCAATTTTGTTTTTTTAGTATAACTAATAAAAAAAAAAACCGTACATACATTAGATTTTCACCAAATGTTTATATTAGCATTTTCTGTACATGATAAAATTTTAAACAATTTTTATAATATATTTGTCAAATAAAAATATCTACTAATATCTATACAATCATTTTTGTATGCTCTCGTGTCTTATTTTTTGTGGGCTTTTTCAAAAACTTTGAACTGTTTCAGATTTCAGAGATCATAGTATAATATTCAACTACAATGAATTATCTATTGTGGGAGTCAGAAAAATATGAGGTTAATTTTGGTTCGGAATTCATCTATTAAAGTGTAGTATTTTGAACCCTGAATGTCTCATAATATTCCAAAATAATTTTACAGTATCACTGTCGTGACAAAGTAAAAATAAAATTTGTAGCGATATTTTAAGACTGTTTATTTACACGTTGACGGATTATATTAGTATTGTAATTATTAGATTCTGAGTGAAACGATGAATGTATTGATTTTACAATGATGTATGTTTTTTTTTTTAACTTTTTTAAGTTTTTTTTTGTTTGTCATCACCTTTTAGGACAGTAAAAGTGCTTGCATTTTCTTCAACAGTATCTTTTCTGATAGGAAAGTGAATCTAGTTGGTACTTTGGGGGGTCAAAAGTAAAATTGTTCAGTAGTTTTCAAACGCACTGCGAAAAACAAAAGAAAAATGAAGGAAAAACGGGAATTTTGACGCAAAATCTGTTTTCGAGAAAATTGATTTTGGTTTTTTGTGTAACTCTAAAACAAATGACCGTAGCTCGTAGTACATGACATTTATACTGACTGTTTATATTAGCACTTTCTATACACCATGCCTTTTTCAAAATATTTTGACTTATTTTGAGCTGTTTAGGGACATTTTCATTTTCCAATTGTTTTAGTTTTTTATTCTATAAATATGAATAAAATTTTATTTGTTGGTTAAAAAAGCTTGAAAATTTAATGGAGGGCTCCTAGTATATTGTTTCAAAGGCAGATGAAAAATATTAAAAATCCTTAGTCACAGTTTTTATTTATAAGCATTTAAAGTTCAAAAATTGACAAAATATGGAAAAATCACGAAAATTGGCAATTTATGTTGAGTTAAGAGTTCGTAAAAATTTTTCTTTTTAAATCTAGAATTTTAAAATATAATACAAGATTCCCTATAAGATTATCTACCTTTATCAAAAAATAAATGTCTATAAGAAAGTCAAATTAAATTTTTATTAGCGTTTTTACAACATTGGATGTTCATTCGATTTCTCGTGTAGCGATTTCGTTATTTTGTGGAATTTCAAAACGAATGACTGTAGATACATGAAAATGAACATTCACTGAATGTTTGTATTAGCATTTCCTATACACTATACAATTTTGAAAATATTTTGGCTCTTTTTGAGCTGTTTACGGACATTTTCGGTTTTCAATTTTTTTAGTTTTTTTTTCTATAAATATCAATGAAGTCTGTTGGGACAAAAAGTGTAAAAATGTAATACAAGGTTCCTGATTACAATATCAGTTGAAAAATACATAGGCACATTTTTTTTTTATAAGCATTTAAACTTTAAAGATCAAATTTTTACAAAATTTATCAAATTTAAAATGGAATAATTATTTTGTAGTTAAAAATTTATAAAATGTTCAACTTTTATATCTAAGGATTGAAAATTTAAAACAAGGTTCCACGTTAGTAGTTAATTCTGTTACCTACCAAAAAATCTAAAAAATACATAGCACAGTTTATTTTTATAGTCATTATAAGTTCAAATTTGGACGAAATTACATATTAAAAACCTAGAATAACTATTTTAGTTATTTTGTTGTGGTTGTATCATATTCGTGGGAACTTGAAACTTCTAAAGTACACTATTATATTATATCTATGATAGTATCAGGGTTTGTTGTTGACATCAATGATATGATTAATTTGGAATTTATTATAGGTCAGTTTTTTTTTTTAATACCATAGATATTTATATACCTAATATGTCTTATCCCCAGACTGACATACCGTCTCCGCTCAGAATCGTTTTTCTTATACAATGATATTATATCATTGAATTCAAATTTAATACTATCCATTAAACAGTGACCCACTTGTAACCTACTGTACAGCAGAGTACCTTTTTTTTTTATTACCTATTACAAATTAAGAAACAATCAATCAAAATGCGACTATGTAATTACATCCTCGTAGTGGTAGTTATACAAAAAAAAATAGTACATAGTAGGTGGTAGTAGGTACCTATCTTTATATAGGTATTTAGACATTACTAAATTAGTATTATAATATTATAGTACCTATTTCAATTTTCAGTTGTTACGACGTTATGTAACATTTGCTATAACTTATAATTGTTAAATACACAGATATAAATTATATCTGTGGTTAAATATTAAATAAAATTATTAATCTATATAGCCTAGTCAATAGTCAAATAGTTGGCTCAAATATACTATCTTAAATAGTTAAATCGTGGTAGCGTCTTAGTGACTATCTACTGTTTAGCGAGTGTTTCAATGTTTAAATTTATTTATTGATTTAGTATAATATACTAAATCGTACTAAATTGTTAATTGTCTATTATTGAATCCACGAGACCATTATTTATAAATTCATGATTGAATCTAATATCTATAGAGTTTACTACTTTAGTATCCACAGCTGGTTAGTTGGAAAATAAGTAAGCCGAAAAATATCAATATGATTATATCATGAAGGTGGTGACGTTTTTCTAGCCGGTCGATTAGAGTTAAAATATGTTTTCAGTTCAACGACGAGTTCACAGCACAACGTGATATCCCTAATCACTAATCAGATATTATCTAACTCTTGTCATCCAAACAGTTGTATACCTATCGGATTATTATATTATTTTTTTTCTGACTTTTGTACTTAATTTTTTTAATAAATGATAATAATAAAAACATTAGACGATTGTTTTCAGTAATCATTATTAATTGCATTCACATTTTATTGTACGTTACCTATACTATATACTATATAGTATACGTTTCCCGTGAAATGGACTGCCGGCACTCCATTCATTGAAATATTCCTTAAAATGTTTATTTCGATTTTTGACAAATTGACAACATCGTACTTAAATGAAACGAGTGAGTATATTGAAGCCATAGTAAACATAAGTATGACCATATGTATATAGTTGCAAGTCCTCTGATATCGCCAACTCCAGTTTAAATCTGAATTTTTGTCTGCCCCGTTAAGGTGAAAAAAAGTCTGCAGACAGAGAGTATACCACTGTTATTAAGCCAAGCGGAGAGACAGTTCGATGGAGATGACTCCGATTGCTTTTTGTCTAGTGATGACATGACGCCATTTAAGAAGCACAACGTCTACTACAAAAGCAGATGGGCTAGGGTCTCTTCGCTCCTATTCTGTGGGTGAGTATCTTACAAATTACAATACTATAGCAATGAACATTGGTGGATTTTTACAAGTGTTTTGCAGTGTGTTTAGTTTGGCTTGGAAATATACTAACTTTACTGCCAATCTAATGGGTGTATTTTGTCATAATATTTGAGTTTATTTAGGGTATGAAAAATTAAAAAAGCTCGTACATATTATACAATATTCAAAATACTCAATAGGTAAGTTGTAATTTTAAATTTCAAAAATAATATGCAATGTATACATGTGTACTTTTTACATCACTGTTATAAACTTGTAAATTATCTCTAAACTCAATTTATATTACTAATTAGAGATTACTATTAACGAAAAATGGTAAATTCCAATTAAAAACTGTGGACTTTGAATTAAGCCATAAACAAACAGTAGTAGTAACTAGTGAGTACTGAGTAGTAATATTGATTGAAATAATAAAAATTATTAAGTCTATGAATTATGAGTGACAATATTAGAAATACTTAGAAGTAGAATAGTAGAAATAGCATTAAGCATAGTATTATAGTAAGTAGTGTCTGCAAATTAGACTCTTCCTTATGACTTCTAGGTTAGTAGGTTCAGCAATTCAGGACATCAAAAAATGTATTAAATATATTCTACTAAATACTAAATACCAAAATTTTTCAGTATACATAAATGGTTATGTACATGGGTACAGTAGCAAAGGTATTGAATTGCTACCCCTGAAATTTCTGGAATTAGTTGAATTTTTGAATTATTTATTATAATTCATAAATAAAATAAAATAAAATAAATTTTAAATATATTGTTAATTTAGCCAAATAGTATGCAAATCGTTAAAAAAAAATTATTGGTTGTATTGGGGAACAACGGACATTTCCGACTGTTTTCGGTTCAGTAGGATATTTCCTTCCCGACTGTTTTAGGTGTAGTGGGATTTTTTCCCCCCTCCATTTCTTTTATTAAGTTTACAATTTAATAACATTATTTTTATTATTTAATATGAAATTATTTTTTTGCCTATTGTCTAATCTCTAATATTTTCATATATTTTCATAAATATAATATATTATAGGTGTATATTTTTGATCAACTGAACTACTTGAATCAAATTCAAAAGAAATTATTAAATTTTTAAATATCCAAACTGGTACAGTTTAACAAAAAATAAATAAATATGAACAAAGCCTAAAAAATATGTTTTTAGAAATAACAAAAGAATCAGTAATCAAATGTTTTTAACAAAATGTATCATTTTTGTTGGAATTTTATGCCATTTTTAATAATAGTATTTTATACTTATTTTTTAAAAATTGTTTATTGTTTAAAGTAGTGGATCAAACATAATATAAATTTATAATCTATTATATTTATGAAAATAAAAAAGTTTATATATTTTATATTTTACTTAAAAAAATAATTTCATATTAAATAATAAAAAATATTTTATTAATAAATTCAATATTAAAGTCAATAATAAACTTTAAAAAAAAATGTTCGGAAAATTTCCGCATCAAAAATATATCGGGGGAAAATGTCCTAATAGACCGAAAACAGTCGGGGGGGGGGGGAAATTTCCATTTATCGTATTGGGAAAGGGCAAAAAAGCCACTAACGGATCTGAGATATTTTGAGAACTCTAGCAACCCCCAAAATTTGGATCAACTTAAGCCACTGGGCACCGAGTACCGACTATGTGTTCACATTATTATTAACGGAATTTAAAATATTTCTTTTATTATATTACGTATTTACGCCTATACGACCTAACTTGACATAATGATATGGTTAAAGAATAATGACAGTGTTATTTTTATCGTGGTTTACTATAAATCATAAAGGAAACCATGGACTAAGATTTATTTAATAGGTTTATTAACTATTATCTTAGTTTGTGACTGATGTGATATTGTGATAAATTCACTTATGTCTCACTTTTGTTAATTATTTATTTTTATTGTTATCAACGTGACAATTATATAACAGGCAACAATGTTTACGAGTGTAATTATTGTAAACTAAATTGTAATTAGGTAGGTACTGAAATTTGAAACATCCCAAAATGCTCTATTCACTATAGTCTACTCCATTATAGTATAGACTCTATACTACGGGGAACAAAAATTTATCTCAATTGTCAATTCTCAATCATTCACACATTAGTAGTAATCCAGTAATACATTGTTACCTATTGCAGTGGCGGATATATCCTAGTTCTGTGGGGGTGGTAAATTTCAAATCCACAGAGGTAATGACGTTCAACCCCTCCCATGGGGTGGTCCGCATGTGGTGGCGAAAAGCCCAAGGGTTGGGGGGGTCCATCAATTATATCATAATTTATAATATTATAGACTTAAATCCATGGCTATAGATAGTACCATCTTTAATCGTGCTTAAATCCAAAACATTTTAATAGTATAATAATTGGTATTTGAATAGGTAGTATACTATTTTTGTCTTCAATTTTAAATATGATAATTTCCGTTGTGTTAGTAATAGGTTAAAGAAAAAAATTCTTTAAACATGTCGTAACTATATTACAAGGTGAGGCACTGAAACCAGGACCCTGGATCTACTATAGTCGCGTCATTGTAAATTAGGAGGCACCTATCGTTTATAATAATACCTATTACTTTTTTTTATTACTATATTTAAAATAATAAACGCAAAGCTCGACGAACCCCGGAAATTTTATTGACGAATACAATTATTTTAAAATGTTAATTTAATATTATAAATAATATTAAATATTGAGACATTTATTTACATTCATTTGAATAGTATATTAGTATTATCTATTGAGTGGTTTGAATGTATGATTGGCCATTTACTGGACAACTGGAACTCTGGAGTCTGGACAGTGGAGTAGTGGACGTACTTCTTTTTATCACCGTAACGGTCATGGAAGAACCGGCGGCGGTGATAATGAAGTGGCGTAACGCGTTGCTTACGCCATGAATTGAACCTTGACATTCGCGCGCGTTGATAATATCGACTCGTTGGTCGTTCGGTCCGTCGGTCGGTGATTCGCCTGCGCCGAAGCCCGAAGAACAAGAACGCAGAACGGGACCGTGTCCGTACTCCGTAGTGTTCTGTTGCCGCCGCCACGTCCTACTGCCCCTCCGTTCACTTCTCCTTCCCCGCTAAAACCACTCGGCACTCGTCGGCCGTCACGGCGTCGCCGCTAAGCTGCGGTTCAGGCAGTTGCCAGTTCACAGTTCACTCGTTCAGTGGCCGTCCGATCTGCGGCCGAGCACGTCAATTCTGTCCTACATACTCGTTGTTCCGACCATATCGTATCGTACGACGATTCTTTGTGAGCGCTTTGAAAACAATCTGCGCATCGACCGAAAAATAAATTAATATCTGCGACGTAAAAAACAGCGATCTCGACATATTTCTCGTCGCCTGTTATCTTCCTTGGTGTGTGTAAGATCTCATATTATAAAATTGTTTGCCGTGTGCTGCGTAGAGCTTTGTGTAGGTCGTCAACGCCGCCGCCGTCTATAACGGGCGCAATCGCAGAATTATGTGATTGATTTTATGGATTCGCCCGCCGGTGCAGGTGTCTGTTTGGTGGAAATGAACTCGTCTTCATCCACGACCACTCTGACCGTCAAAGAGGACATTCCGCTTTTGAACAAGCCTCGGGAAACCAATAACGTCTTCAACAGGTTTGACTCAAACACTGAAACACCTCTCTCTGCCACCCACCCATAAAAATTGCCCGTTGTCCATATTGCGCAATTGTAAATGATAATAATATTATTAACTAATATCTGTTTGCTAAACCTCATTTTATAAATTATTTAATAAATAAATATTTTTTATGTACCTAGGTACCTACCCTATTCGTTGATCTCTATTTTATATCGACCCAATTGTATTTGGAAAATACCCCCGAAAATACCTGTCTGCAACATCATCCTGTCAGGAAAAATGCTTATACAGTCTTCTACCCATTATGTGCTGCAGTGTTTGTCATCTCGGTGGCATCTCTGCAAGTCAATTGTGATCATTTAACAGTTCTACACTCACAAACATACCTATAATAGTTTTTTATTCAATTATTTGTCTTGTAAAATGTCAGGTTCATTCAAACCGATTTGACTTCAAAGCATTTAAATATACAAAAATATTGTTCCTAATAATAATTTATAGGTACACCTAAAAGTTTAGAATTTTTCATTAGATCAATTTTATATTTTATCCAGATTTGCATTCATTAGGTATAGGTAAATATTATTTATTGTCATGCCTACCTAATTAATTGGCCACATGTTCAAACTAAATTATAGGTATGAGTATATCCATTGTATAATAAATAAAATAGTTCCTAGGTATTATTATTATTTATACCTACAATAATTCTTGACAAATAGGTAGCGTAGGTATTATAGTATAATATACAATTACCTAGTAATTTAATTTACCCTACTCACAATATTTTATCGATATAATATTTGGTAGGTACCTACCTACTTAACAATTTATTGACTTTTTTAATTATTCTAATTACTATTTGGGTTTTATGCAGCAATGATCAGTGAAACTTCAGTGGTGTTAATATGTATCCACTGTTAGTATTACTTGCTTTTTTTTCCCCCGTTCATAATTTATCACAATATATTGGTCAATCATCTTCAGGCATATTAATGAACATTTATGTCTATCGCTGCAACAACATAGTTTCTATATATACTTATATTAACTTAGCAGACATAATATATGAAAGTGGATAAGGGGCATGAATAGGCTGCAGTTTATTTCTCATATTTCTGCATTTTTATAACGCTGCGGGTATCCTGGAAATAACAGTAACATTGCTTCACGTGGCAAGTATCTTAAGACTATTAGGTTAATATCATTAACTATATCTGTATATATGTAAATCAACTGTCAAACTTCTAATTATTTAACTTAGGTATGCTTTGATGATTAAAACGATTAATGAAATTGAATATAAGTTTTTAAATCTTTTATTAATTAATCCAGCAAATCTTTCATGCCTGGAAGTCATTTATATGTTACTGGAATTATTGGAGGGGTTATTTATTATTCGATAGGTTTATAAGTACCTAATAATTACTAACCATACTGTATGTTATACATATATTTTAATTTATTAAGTAGGTACAGCTATCTAAATTGCTTTCAAAATGTTTAACAAGTTTATTTACCACTAGTCACTATCTACCATAGAGTAATAATATCTATGCTATCTACATAGTTTTGGAATTGAGTACCTTGTTTTATTCTTTATACTTTGATAATCATAATAACAATTAATTCTCGAGACTTACATATTTTGTATTTGTATTAATATTTTGCATTTACATTAATTGTAAAGTCCATAATTGAGACATGATAATATGATCATGATAATCTAGATATAACATTTAAAATGATACACCTATCTATAAATGTATGATGTTTATTTATTTATTTATTAATTAATCAACGCCTGTTAGGGCAATTTTAACAAAGGTAAAGCAATTTTTGAAACACCATTAAAACATTTTTTTTTTTTTTTTTTTTATACAATTAGTTTAGGAAAAAAAAAAAAAATTCACAGAATAAAGTTGCCTGTTACCTGCCATGTTACCTGTTATGTTTGAAAATAATTATAAAATGCATATATATGCATATATTTGTATTTCTAATAAAATATTTCTAACAATTTTAATTAAAATTAAAATATAAACTTACTTGGATATAAAAAGATAAAAAATAATTTAAAAATTAAAAATACCTAAATGTTTATGACAAAAAAATCAATAATACAGCCTACTGCAGTATTGCACATGACTTATCAGTTAGGTTTCTGCTCATTGAACCACATTTATTTCATATAATTACATACCAGATAATTTAGGTATATTTTTATTGTATAATATGATATACTACCATTGATGTAGTTCTAATAGTTATGGTACACACCGTGTGCCCTCCACTACCACTGTATACTACGATGAATTCATATGGTATCAATAAAATTATGTCATAAATTAGGTAAATCAAATACCATTAATTTTGGTACAAATTTACTTCTATAGAACTCAATTTGTATCTCCATACTACAATATTATATAAATATATAATATTATACTACATTTTATAATCATCCTTAAATATCTCAACAAATAGGTACTTAAAGTAAAAATATGTATAAAAAAAAACCTAAATCTCGACCTAAATGTTTTAAATTCATTGATATTTATTTTAATTCTTTTTTTTTTTGTATTTTTAAAATGTACCTATAGTAATAAAAATAAAAATGCATATTTTAATGATACTTAAACACATAGTCTTTACTCTTGATGATAATGTTTTATGGTTTTTAAGTAGGTAATGATTAGATACTTATGTCTACTAAATATGTTGATTTGTTAAAATATTTACAAAATTAAGCTATAATTTTTTTCTATCAGGTGGATATATATTTATTTTAATTTGGGAAGGGAGAAGATATGATGAATGTGTCATACACTCATACATAGACTCATACCTTCATGTTATACAATAAACAGTAATATGTGACTCGTATGTGACTATCAATATTGGTTCTTTATCTTTGTAATTCGCAATTCTATACTATTCGTAACTTGTAAGTAAATTATAATAATTATATTTTTTATGCGTTTTATGGATTCTTAGATATTTTTATTTGTTTACATTTAAATAATCGAGTAAATAGTGACCTAATTTTTCTGTCATAACTGTCATAAGCAAAACAAGCTAATGTATCTATAGACTTATGTCTCATTTAATATTATTAGTAATGCAAAGTGTATAATGAATTAAATCATTTAGGTTATATGGAAATTATATTTATCAAATCTTAATGTTACATACAATTGTTTTAATATATTTTGTAGGTATCATAATATATAACTTTATTTCTATGCATCTGATAGCTTTACTTTTTACCTATTCATTATTTGAATCTTATTCCCTATGTATATTAATATTTGAAATAAGAAAATTTTATAAAATTACAACTAATAGGTACTTACATATCTTTATATATTTAGGTAGATGTTAAACATTACAGAAAAAAAAATCTAAATAGGTTCTATTCGAGGTTCTATTTTTATCATTTTTTTAGGTGGCATACTGATACATTGTACTATATAATATGGCCTTTTATATTTTTCTAGATACTCTCAAACTGAATTGTAGTTCATATTAATCGAGATATTAATTTATTGAAAATTTGAGATATAAACAAAATACAATATTAATTCTTAAATTAAAATTTTTTTTTTTTTTTACCTACAATTGAATATGATAATATTTTTGGTTTTAACAGTAAACTAGTATTATAGGTACCTGGTACTCGTCTTATTAAAATTTACTTTATGTTTATTAAACAAGAATACTTAGTATTCTAGAGCGTTAATATTATAGGTACCATATTTTTTTTACTAATGATTGTAAACAATAATATTTACCTACATATTAAATTACCTAATTGTTAATATTTATTATGTTATACTAAAAAATATTAAATTTGAACTTGATAGTTATGTCTTGCATTAGTTACTGAATATTATATTAGTATATAATTGATACTAGAAAATGTATTATAAAATCATTTTAAATGTCATATTGAAATAATGAAATGTAAGAAAAATGTCATAGTACAACATTATGTAAAAAAGTTCAAAAATATAATAAATGTTTTTCTCCGGTTGTAGTACACACAGTATACATAAAAGTAAATTGTAATTATAGTGAGGAAATTCAATTTGTGTAAAGTTAAGAACTCGGATACTGTATAGAATTATACTTATATAAGAAATGCAATTGTTTTAAAATAATTCTAGGTACATAATAATACACTCAATTTCAAATAATATTAAATCGCAGGTGCATGCACAATGACATCGGGTGCTTTTGGGTAGCTATTATTGTGCAAACCAAGACAATTTTTTGTCTGCTGCTCAGTTTCTTCTTGAATGGAATAGAGTCGAGTGAATATTAAATGATTGACAAAATTTATTAGAATTTAAAACTATTTTTTTAAAAAGGACATTTTATCCGCATGTGTTATATCCGTCTGACTAACGCATGAAATAGGTAGTCAATTTTACGTTAAGAAGAAGCAACTTTACTCTGTGTCTCTGTTATTTTTAATATTAGAGTCAATATCTATTATCAAATTTAATGCTATGAATCACGGACTACTACACTGAACTGGAAACTTCAAGGGAGGAGGGTGACAGGAGGTCGGCCCACTTAGTGTCCACGAGAGAGGTGTACGAAGGGAAAACATACATGAGCTAATCTAGCTCGTTTCCAGTCCAGTGTAGTAGTCTGTGCTATGAATATTAATAATAATCTAGAACCTCATTGGTTAGGTTAGGTTAGTTTATTTTTATATTTTAATTTCGAAGCAAATTGTAATCATTTTAAACTGTACAATACATTTACAATTTCAAAATGCTCATAACTTGCTTTATAATAATTACAGTATACTCAATTCTAAGATGGGCTCTAGGTAATAAGCTCACATTTAAATGTGATCAATTTACTCTCATAAATCATAATGATAACAGAGTTAAACTGATTCTTCTTAAAATAAAATTTACCAAGCTGGTACGCATTGGTAAGACGGAAACAACATGTGCGGTTTGTCCTCTTAATTGAAACAGATAAAAAAAAGTATATTATGTATATATATTTATAGTAACCTCGTTTATAAAACATAATAATAAATACAACAATGTAAACACATTGATAATTTATTTTTATGTAAATTAATCCTACTAGACCAATAGAAAAAAATAATTTGGGTAGGTACTTAAAAAAAAATAATAAAGGTATAGGTAAATATATTAAAATAGGAAATAAAAGTAGGTATAAGAAATAATGACATTCTGTTTCATTTACATAAACTCTTTATTTGGCATTTAAATACATTTCATTATATTTGTTGTTTGATTTTATGACCAGCACACAAATCTTATTATTAATAGGCAAGAAAAAGTTACTTATTTGATAGTTTTAATTTTAGTTCTTAAATATTTTTTTTCCTGAGTGGCCCTGCAAATGTTGTTGCATGTTTCCTTTTACCTGGTTACATTTTATAAATTAGTCAACTTGGTATTTATTATAAAATATAAATAAAAAAGTTATGCCGCATGAGTTACATACATTATATTATTGTGTGTTGTCTTATTTCAAATGAGACCTCACCCAAAAGCTTGATATTCAACTCTTAAAATCCACAATTAATAATAATAATATTGTCATTAAACGCGATAATGTTTTTTAAAGTTATAAGATTACAGTTACAATTTCCAACATATTTCTATTAGCTTGAAAGAATTTTTAGATAATTGATTGTCTTTTTTTTATATAAGTACCTGATTAATCACCAAAAATCCATTAAATGAATTTATTTTTCCTTATTATTTTAAAAGTTTGACAAAAGTACCTAAGCCATAATAGTGCTTTGACAAGTTTTTCGTATTTCATGGAGTTTGTGTCCTATTATTTCAGATTGTGACACATTCTCCTGCCTGTTTATATTTTTACAGTCATGACAGAAGAGAAAAAAAGTAAATTAAGGTAGGATCCCAATTTGGTATTTTTACTAATATAATATTATAATAGCCTAACTATAAATTTTAAGTTAGGTATGTCAAGACCTAGCTGGGCTAACAAATATCAAAAAGGGTGAGCAAAAATTAAGAACGATAATTTTTCCTATATTGTTATACTTTATAATATTTAAATTTATAACCCATATAGAATTCTGTCTTCAGATATTCCTGAACAGTAGAATTTGTTTTTTTTTTCAATTTTAATTTATATAATAAAAACCTATATTTCTTTTAGAGATAGGATGTAATTTAAAGGTTGAATTTTAGATTGATATATGTAATCAAAATATGTACTATTTTATATTAATAGTGTTATTTGTAGATTAAAATTGTACTTATTCATATTAAATAAATTCGATAAGTATTTTTTTTTTCATTTTATGATTATTAAATTTTTTATATATTACCTATTATATATATTATAAACATTACCAACCATAATATTAAATCATAACGCTTAACAATAATTTATCATGAAACTGTTTTCTACCTTTTAATATAAATGAAATATATTTTTATATTTTTTTGTAATATGTAATTGATAAGAACATTACAGTGTTTGAATTTTAGATTTATACCATTTAAATTTTGATCAGGTTATTCAAAAAAAATTATAGCTCACCCTTTTTTAATTTTTTGGTTTTGTAGTCGGCTGTTTAAGGTTAGGTGAACCTAACCTAATCTCGTATTAAACACGACTAACACCAAAACTTACATACATTTTTTATTTGAATTTTAAAAAGAAAAATTGCTACAATGAAATTAATTATTACTACATGTTTTAAAATTTAATTTTATGATTGAAGTGATAGCGTGTTTTTAACTACAACACATCAAGCTTATAGCTAAGTTAGTTAGTATATTATTAATGTAGTATTTATTTTTAATATTTATGTAAGATTTGTTTGCTTATTTTTTTTCATTAAACCTACTAACTTAAGAATATTTAAATTGCTTAGCTTTTTACATAAGTTAGCTTCTTGCATGTATTGTTTTGTTTCTAAATGGGTAATTTTATATTAATTGTATGTTAAAATAAAATTTATCAAGAATGAAAGTAATATTAATAATAAGACTAGTAACAAAATACTAAAGAACGTATCACGACATTATGTACATCATACCTATCTTAATAAACTAGAATTTTTCAGTTGTAGGAGCATTTACATAATGAACGTATTTTAGTAATACATTTTTTATATTTGTTCATACATACCTACTATTTATTAATTTTTGGTTTTACTGTATTAAATATTTAATATGATATTTGGGATTCTAATTAATGTTTCTTTTGCCATAATTATATAGAATAAATATTTTATCTTACTTTAACTTTTAACTTTTTAAGTTATAAAATAATAATAAAACCTAAAAATAATTTTGGAAGTTTTTAATAGTTACCTACATTTTGAGATTAATAAATGTCAATATAATTTAAATTACAGTGATAATAATTGGTCATTATTGATAATAAAATAAAGGTAGTATTATTAGTATTGGTTTATAACTAAATCAATGTTAATATTAAGCCATTATTAAATATTGATGTTTTTGAAATTGTTTATATTGCAATAGTTAGGTACTGTTTATCTTATAAGTTATAAACCACCTATAATTGCATTACACCAAAATAGTATTTTGTTAATTTCTTAATTTATTTGTAGGCAATCAACTAATATGTTTTGGTCTAAACTAAATGTTAATATTTCTTATCCAATGTGACTCACAATTAAAAAAAAATTTTAGTTATTAATTTTTACTTTCTATGTTTAGAGAATGGGCTTTTATTTTTATTTTTATCATTTTATTTAATTTTAATGAATTTTTAAAAATTGGCCTAAAAATTAACTATCAAAGAACAAATCCAATTCACAAATATTTACTTAATACATAAATTCAACATTTAGGGCCGTTTTCATAGTTGATGCTTAAGAATAAGTACCTATTGCTTAAGGTAATTAAAAAAAAAAAAAATTGTGATAATAACTAAAAGTAATGCTTAAAGTAGGTCTCAACCAACCTTAGTTTAAGCAATACTTATTCTTAAGCATCAGCTATGAATACGACCCTTAGAGTTATCAGATAGAACTTGTAAGGAGTAACTTTTATTGTTATTGATTAACTTATTATCTAGACCATTAAGATACTGACCAGTTATTATCATCAATGCCTAAATAATTGTCTTAGACTGTAAAAGTTTAAAATATATTAATTTAAATATGTATGAATATTTTATATTATTGTATTATATTTATGCAAGTAGAGAATTGTTAGATATAAATTTTTTGACAGATTTTGCCAATGGATTTGGCAAAAATGTTTCCGCAAGAAGGAACTTACTTCACGCACTATTGTCATCGGGAAACAAAGCACCGAAAAGTATTCCCCAAATGTCATACGCAATCAGAAATACACCATAATCACATTCCTCCCAAAGGTTTGAAACTTTATACTTTGATATAATCGGACTTATCAATTAAAAAAATCATTTAAATGTATTTCCAGGTGCTCTATCAACAGTTCAAATTCTTTTTGAATCTTTATTTTCTTCTGATGGCTATGAGTCAATTTGTACCTGAACTAAGATTAGGATACCTCTACACATATTGGGGACCACTGGTAATAAATATTGTAAAAAAAAAAATTATCAATACTTACTTGTGGTATTTAATGTTGTAGATATTTGTATTGGCTGTCACATTATTTCGTGAAGGTGTTGATGATATTCGAAGGTGGCAACGAGATGAAGAAGTAAATTCACAAAAATACAAACGTCTAATACGTGGTAAAGATCACAATATTGGTACCGAGTATGTATCATCATCAAAACTCAAAGTTGGAGACTTAGTAAGTTTTGTTTTTTGTAATTATTAATAAAATATAGTTAAAAATGTACTAAGTTTTATTAAATATAATTATTAGGTGCTAGTAGAAAAAGATCAAAGAGTCCCAGCTGATATGGTGTTATTAAGAACTACTGAAAAATCTGGTGCTTGTTTTGTACGAACTGATCAAATGGATGGGGAAACTGATTGGAAATTACGTCTTGCTATTGGAGACACCCAAAAATTAGATTGTGATGCGCGTTTGTTTGATATTACAGCTACTATTTTTGCTGAAAAACCTCAAAGAGATATTCACAGTTTCATAGGGACATTTAGAAGAGTAAAAGAATATATTATTTTATAATTATTATTAAATCATTAATTATTTATAATATGTTATTTAGCAAGATAATGGGGAAGAAGTGAGTCTTGATGTAGAAAATACATTATGGGCTAACTGTGTTGTAGCTAATGGTTCAGCACTTGGTGCTGTTGTTTACACCGGTGCTGAAACCAGGTCTGTTATGAATAATTCTCAGCCTCGAAGTAAAGTTGGACTATTAGATATAGAAATTAATCAGTTAACTAAGGTATTGTTGGAATTTTATTTTTATTCTACTTATATTGTGTGTTCACATTATATTTCAATTTTCAGCTACTTTTTTGTGCTGTGGTTGGTTTGGCCTTTGTCATGATGTGCTTAAAAGGTTTCAGTGGTCCATGGTATCGTTACATGTTCAGATTTGTATTACTATTCTCATACATTATACCAATCAGGTTAGCTTACAAAACTTTATTTATATGAACAACAATAATAAATTATATACTTTTTTTTGTTGTTTAATTTAGTTTGAGGGTAAATTTAGACATGGGTAAAGCATTCTATTCATGGTCTATGCAAAGAGATGAAGAAATGCCAGATACAGTAGTTAGATGTACAACAATTCCAGAAGAACTGGGACGGATATCATACTTATTTTCAGATAAAACTGGGACACTTACTCAAAATTCAATGGTATTTAAACGACTGCATTTAGGGACTGTTTCTTATGGTGCGGAGTCTTTTGACCAGGTGAAAAATTTATTTATACTTCTATAATTAGTATTTAATGATAATATTAATTATTAATACTGTTGTAGGTTGCTGAACAACTTAAAATGACCTTCTGTGGAGCAGTTGAGCCCACACATAATCGTAATTTGTCTCAGGGTTCAACATCATTTAAGATAAGACGCTCTGAGCAAACTCGTCTTCATGATGCTGTTAAAGCTATAGCGTTGTGTCATAATGTGACTCCTGTTATTGAAAATAATGTTCAGGGCAATATGTTAGTTTTATTTTGTTTTACAGACAGCATTCGATAAATAATTGAAATTAATTTTGCATTTAAAAAAATATATGTTAAATGTTTGATTTTAGTACTGATAGTCCAGTCGAACTCAGGTCTGAAGCTGATCAACACTATATTAAAGAAAGTCTACTTTCTCGTTCACAGTGTACTTATCAAGCTTCTAGTCCTGACGAGGTATACATATTTTATATTTGTTAAAATCTTAGAATCTTATAACTTTAAAAAATTGCTTTCTATTTGTCACAGATTGCATTAGTAAAGTGGACTGAAGATGTAGGTTTAGCTGTAATAAAGAGAGATTTGACATCACTTCAATTACGTACATCTGCTGGAGATATACTAAATTATACAATATTACAAATGTTTCCATTCACATCAGAAACCAAACGCATGGGAATAATTGTTAAAGATGTAGCCTCTGGAGATATTACATTCTATTTAAAAGGAGCAGATGTAGTTATGTCATCTATTGTTCAATACACTGACTGGTTGGAAGAAGAATGTGGAAATATGGCACGAGAAGGTTTACGTACATTGGTAGTGGCTCGAAAAAATTTAACTGAAGAACAGTACTTGGAATTTGAAGTGTGTATTGTTTATCTATAATTCCAAATCATAATGTAAAGACTAAATGTTATGTTTTATTTATTTTTTGCCAGTCTCGTTTGAATTCAGCAAGGTTAGCTGTAACAGGTCGTGCTCAACGAGTAGCAACTGTTGTAGACACTCTAGAACGTGAAATGGAGTTATTGTGTGTAACAGGGGTGGAAGATAAACTTCAAGTAAATGTTCGTAGAACTTTAGAATTATTGGGCAATGCAGGAATTAAAGTAAGAGTAATTTTAATAAAATATAATTGCTTGCTTAATAAATTTATATTTCATTAGATATGGATGTTAACTGGAGATAAGCAAGAAACTGCCACTTGTATTGCTAAAAGTTCTCGTCTTGTTTCAAGAACTCAGGAATTATTTATTTTTAACCCAGTACATACAAGAACTGAAGCACATCAGCAATTAAATGCTTTTAGGAAAAAACAAGATTGTGCTCTGGTTATTACTGGAGATTCATTGGAAGTAAGTTTAATTATAAGAATTTTATTTTATTTTTGTGTTTTATATTAACTTTTATCTTTGTTCTTAAGATATGTCTACAGTATTATCAAACAGAATTACTGGATGTTGCCTGCCGAAGTCCAGCTGTAATTTGTTGTCGATGTTCTCCTACCCAAAAAGCACAAATTGTCACTTTAATTAAGGCGCATACTGGAAAAAGAACTGCTGCTGTTGGTGATGGAGGAAATGATGTTTCGATGATTCAGGCGGCTGACACAGGTATAAAATAATTTGTTAATAACTGTTGTTGTAACGTATTGGGGCAAATGTAACAATTTTATATTTTTAATTTTAGGCATTGGTATTGCTGGTGTTGAAGGTCGTCAAGCATCTTTAGCTGCAGACTTTTCAGTACCTCAATTTTCACACCTTTCTAGACTACTCATGGTACATGGTCGATACAGTTATAAAAGATCTGCCTCACTTAGCCAATTTGTCATCCATAGAGGTCTTATCATATCTACTATGCAAGCAATATTTTCAGCTGTATTTTACTTCTCATCAGTAACACTGTATCAAGGGTTCCTTATGATTGGGTAAGATTGAATTGTACATGGCCTATTTTTTGTTGCTATGTGTAATACATAAATCATTATGGGTAGTGTAGTCTGAAATTATAGTGTATTATTGTATAATGACCTGTACTGTTTAGTGTTTACAACTTATGTGCAACAGTAATAATATTATTTTAATTAATAAAAAGTTACAATTTGTGAAATATATTTAAATAAAATGTGGTTTGGTTTTGTGCTAAAAAGTATATAATACGAAAAATAACAAAAGCATAGGCCCTGGAATTGTAACTTAATTACAAGGATCTATTAATTGAGCTGCTTATTGATTTCAGATATGCAACACTGTACACCATGTTCCCTGTATTTTCCTTGGTACTTGATAAAGATGTACTGTCTAAAATTGCATTAACTTATCCTGAGCTCTATAAAGAACTGAGCAAAGGACGGTCGTTATCTTATAAAACATTTTTCATTTGGGTTTTAATAAGCATTTATCAAGGTAAACCTAAACAATATTGAATATACACATAATAATTTAATACTGTTTTACAAACATTTTCTGTTTTTTGGCAGGTGGTGTAATAATGTATGGAGCATTGTTTCTATTTGAAGATGAATTCATTCACATTGTTGCCATTAGTTTCACAGCTTTAATTCTCACAGAACTAATCATGGTTGCATTGACAGTGCGCACATGGCACTATTTAATGCTGTTGGCTGAACTTTTTAGTTTAGCAGTTTATATTTTATCATTAATCTTACTCAAAGATTATTTTGGTTAGTATATATTGTTTTTGACTATTTTTAAAATATATACAGGCAATCTTCAATCTTCGCTATCTTCAAAGGACCTTAAGAATCTGATAATTACATCCCAACTCCGTTATAAAGATAACATAAAAAAAATGTGCATATTTATTTAAATTTAATAAGTTATTGATTTAGGAATCCTGTTTTGTTAGCATTATACATGTTGAAATACTAAAAATTTTCATACAAATGGTTCTCTAGCCCTGGATCGCTTTCTTATTCTCCACTAATTTTTTAAGTTTTTTATTCAATTTATTAACATAAAATGGTGGCTCGTGGCTGAGACTTGTATAATATGTTCGATTAAATAGCAGTCACAAAAATAGCAATAAATTAAAAATTATTCATTTCAATTAAATTAATTTTTATACTGTTACAATGTTGATGTAGAAATAAAGTAGATTACAAATTATCGCATTGAGCGAAATCTAAAATTCTATGAAATCATCAAAACAAAAATTGAGTAATTATTCTAGATTGTTTTAGGCGATTATTATACCACTTTTCAGTTTTAATTTGAAAATAACACATTATTACTGGAATATTGTAACCATCATCATACAATACAAACAAAATTATTGGACAAAAGTTAGAAAACCAAACAAATACATTGCTAATAATCATTATACACAAAACTTTTTTGTATTCTATTTATAAGCGAATTAGCCTGTAGTTTAATTATTAACACAATCATTTGTTTATTTGTTTAGATTCTCATTTCATACAAACCGAATCATTCCTATGGAAAGTCACTGTGATTACACTGGTCAGCTGTTTACCATTATACATTCTAAAGTTCTTAAGGAAAAAGTTTTCACCACCCAGTTATTCTAAACTATCGTGAGCTATAGTTACCTTGAAATATGAAAGTAGTGGAATTATAATTGAGGAAATTAAACAAAATTAATATATTTACATGGATCTTTAGTCTCAAAATCAGCTTCAGAATTATTATTCTATCTCCCCAAAATTAATTTTGATATAAAAAGCACAATTGATACCGAATAGATTAAACACAACACTTAAAAATATGTATATTTTAATCATATATATTTTTTTATTGCAAAATTATAGTATTATCATCTTCAAAAATATTCTACTAATTGTAATGTTATTTTTCTGGTATAAGTTAAAAGTTAAAACTGTTTAAAATTATAATTTTTCTGTTATTTTTTAGTTTTGTTTTATAGAATGTTAATGATTATCTATGACCGTGATTCATAAGTAAATCAATAAAGGATTTTTATTAATTCAGCTATAAATCTGTAAAATTCCTCTATTAATTTACATATTTACCCTTGCAAACACTACATTTTAAATGATTTAAAAACAAAAAATTTAAATATAAATTTGCTCCTTTGAATTATAAAATATTTGATGCAGGGTCTGTGTACTGCAGTTTATATTAATGATCTTAAGTTATGATAAGATCAATATTAATGTATGTCACCATTTAATATTCTTATGTGAATTTTTTTTTTATATTTTGACTAAATCTTGAAATTATTTTAAAGATTTGTAGGATTGCCATTCATCCTATTGTTTGTTTTTAATAAAATTTAAATAATTTGAATAGATTATAATCAGTTGATCACATCAATGCTATTTTTATTTTTTGGGAAATCCATTCTTTTTGTACTTATACCATCTACGAGGAAGTGAATTTTTTGTAACGGTTGTTCATTATTGAATAATACTAAATTATTTAACTGAACCTGTTTTAATCTGGTATTCATTAACTGGTTTTTCCTTATCATAGAGTAGTAGAATTTATATAATATTCATTTTGCAAATGCTTTCTTCAGTGGGATGGATAAGGAGAGACTATTTTGATGATGTTACAATTATGGTTATTGTAATTTTGAATAACAAAAATATGGAAATCCTGTTTATTTTTGCATCTTAAATAATTAATGGTATTAAAGGCAATAATACAAATCTTAAAAGAAAAAATATATTTTTGCACAGAAAGCAATTTTTTCCAATATTGTAGATCTAAATTCTGAAAATAATTCATTGCTCAACATCATTTGAAAACTAGATATCCCGTTTGAAGTGTTGAAAGATATTTTTAAGTTCTACTATCAAATATCTTTTGAACTTTATGATAATATAGTCATTATGTAAAAAGGTCAATTTTATTGAACATCATTTAAATCTTGATAAATGTTTTTCAGATATTTTGAAATTTTATTTCCCTAAAATATTTATATTAAGTATAATGCGTTTTTAATATATATTATAAAGCCTATTACTGAATAAAATAAATATATATGTTATAAATTAAAATGTTATTATTGAAAAATATAGTTTATTAAAAGTTCCTGAATTGATGATATCAAATATGCGGTATAGCATTATTTGGGGTTGATCTTGATTTATTTATTTGTCTTCACCGATATTTGGATTAATTTTATTCTACTTATAAAATTATGCATGTTTAATTATTTTATACAATTTAATTAATTATTAAATCTCCATTAATTAATAAAGCACAGCAATTATGCTGTGTTAGGTTGATTTACCTAAGATAAAACTAATGCAAGTAGAAAAAATAAGAACTACCTATGCATTTGAGACCCACAATTACACATGCAATTAAAAAATATAATTCACACTCATAGAAATTTCAATTTTGTAAACACTGCTAATTTATCTTTGAATACTTGGCTGGCTATTATCTTATTGAATATGTGAATATTTTATTTAAAAAAGAGAAGTTAGATACAATTGAAGTATTTATTTAAATTTTTAAAGATTATATTTACTTAGTGTCTTGTTCCATGGTTGTGTTGTTGTATTGGTTTGTTTTTTTCTTTGTTATTATTATTTGTATAGTTGTAGTTTACTCTCCCATTGCTTGAAGATAAAAAATGATTTTGTTACCCACCACAACATTTTGAAGTACCTATCCTTATTACATATTTTGTATTCATATAGAAGTATGTTGCAATTTAATAATATTTAAATCTACTTAGGTAATATCAGATTGTTATGTTTAAGAAAGTATTAGAAAAATAATTATTTATTATTATGTGTAAGTTATGAATTATGATTAATGATAATCAATATTTTTGTGTCTTATAGTGTAAATTAAAATATATATATATATATATATATATATTTGATCATAACAAAAAACAAACCAGTGGTAATATAGTTTGTTAATAATACCTATAATCATATTGTTTAATACATAATTATATAGATCCATCCTAATGTCCTGATTGATGTATTTACATTGGAGTGACAAGATCAATACTTTTCAGCAACAAAATAAAACAAACATACCGTTTATTGTTTAGGACTGTGATTGTATAGGCGAAGGTAATAATTTTTACAAAAAACTTAATAGTCCGGTTTAGGTGAATATCATTTGTATTTTAACAATATATCAGGAGCTTTGTATTAAATTTCCATTCATTTTTACCCTACAAATACAATTTTGTTGACAATTATAGAAAAAAAAACTAAAATTATTTAAAATTGAAATTGTCCGTAAAGAGCTCAAAACAATCAAAATATTTTTATAATTTTATGGTGTATAGGAAATGAGAATTTAAACATTCAGTCAAATTTTCATGTATCTAAGGTTATTTGTTTTTGAATTACAACAAAATCGCTACATAATAAATCTAGTGAATATCCAATGTTGTAAAAATATGAACTTTAAACGCTCAAAAGAATTAAATTTAACTTTCTTTTTGATAAAGGTAGACAAACTTATAAGAAATCTTGTACTATCTTTCGTTTGATACCTATTTTGAAGTTCTGGGACAACTTCGGTGGGCTAACTTCCAAACTTTGAAAGCTCTTACTGGCCTCCCGAGTTACTTGCAAATTCTGTCTAATCATTGTCTTTCGTTCGGGGCTGATTTTAAACGTCTAGGACAAAGTGGGTGGGCCAAGATCACAAGTTCAAAAGTTTATGGCGGCCGCCTGAATTACTTACAAATTTCAAAAAGGGGTTTTCAAATACTTGCTAATCATTAGCTTTCGTTTAATACCGATTATTCGAAGTTCTCGGTCAAAACGGGTGGGCTACGTGAAGTTGGCCCATCCTTACATTTCGGTTTCACTATGAAAGTTTGGACTTGCAAATCCTAAAAATAGACAAGCAAATACTTGCAAAATAATGGAATAGATTTTAAAAAAAACGCAGTGCCTACTTAGGTGGGCCAACTTCACGAACGTTAATTGTTGAGCTATAATTACTTTGCTTTATATTAAATGCCAATAAAATAATTTAAAAAAGACGTCTCCTCCATTCCCAACATTATGTAGGAACAAAAAAATAGAATTTTACAAATTAAGCAAAGTTGTTATTTTAATAATTTAATTTTAGACTAAAAACATAAAACAAATGTAATAAACTTACTAATTGTTGAACGAAACACTGAAATTGGTAAGTGAATACCATTTATTTATACCAAATTTTAATACAATTGCTTTTGTAAAACAATATGGGTTTGGCCAATCTTCTAAAATTCTAAAAATCACATACAAATTAATTTTTAAAACAAGAACTTTCTTTGTACATATCAGTATAGACCGAATAGACTTTTCACGTGAATTTTGAATAAATAAATATTAAACATTTTAAGACATATCATAATATTTTGTATGGTTTTTATTTCATTCATAAAACTTTAAAATTTCTCTAAAATTAAATTTGAAAGCGAATAATTATAAACGCATGGGTTTTTCCGTGGAGCAGTGTGTATCAGAACCTATTAACAGATATCTGTTAATAGGTCTATGGTGTGTATGCGACATGCGTCCACGAGCGCTTGCTGGTGCAAGTCCGCATTCCGCTTTGCTTAAGACGATTTGGGGTACCTCGTATAAATGTGATATTAGAAAATAATCAGTTTTTACATACCCCATAATATTCGTACAGATAAAAATTGATCTAAATGATAGCTAGGTAAACATAAACAAATATATTTCACAATCATAAAAAATAAAATTTTAATGAGTTCCATGGGCAGATTAAAATATATATAGACATTTTACCTATGCCCCAAAAAAGTTTCCGGTCGAGCCGGGGCACACCCGGCTCGCCCCGTGCGCACGCCTATGGTTACATAATATATAGAAAACCTAATTACAAAAATATTTTATATTTGTCTAATCACGTTTTTATTAATTTCATTCATCACAATAAAGAACAATTTTGAAAAGTAATCGATTTAAAATTTCAACCCTCATAAAAAAATTAATATTACCTACTTTTTTTTATAAGATAGGGAAATTTGTGTGGAGTTTTCTATCAACATTTTTATTGTTAGCGATGAAATTAAAAACTTTTATGAATTTTTGATTGAAAGATAGTTTTTAAAATTTTCGAAATTTTGATGAATTATATCAATTTTTTTGTTTTTTTTAATGAAACTTATAAGGAACCTAGCATTAAATTTTCAAACTTTTTTACAGAGTGAAAAAGTTTTTATCGAAAATGTATTAAATTTGAAACATTTCTTGGCTATAACTTGCTCAAAAAGAGGCAAAATATTTCAAAAATGTTACAATTTATGGAAAATACTTATATAAATATTTGGTCAAAGTTTCAAGGGTACGGTTATTAATTTTTGAGTTAGGTACTTAAACAAAAAAAAAATAGATTTTTCAAAAATTGTTTTTGCGTAAAAATTGTAACACTTTTAATGGTTTTTCTTGACGTTTTCTATAACTACTTAAAATTTTCAATTTTGACCTCCTGTCAGGAAAGATGCTGATCTAGAGAACTGGAGCATTTTTACTATATCCATAATGATTTAGACAGATAGAGACAAAATATACTTATCATTGTTAAATCAATACATTATTTCGCCCCGCTAGTCC